CTCCCATGTGGAAGGCAAGAATTTTACCACTGAATTACCACTTCCCCTAAACCCTTTATAGCCTACCTTTATTTTTAGCCTGTTTGCTGCTTGAGTTAATAAATTCTGCAAGCCTACAACTAAAAACATAAAGTACTCCTTATTACATGATCTCTAACCAAACTGCCAAGGCAGCATCTAGTTAGAGCATGGGTGTGCAGTTAGAGAGGTTGGAGTCCCAGCTCACTGACTTGCTGTGTTAGTGTTCACTAACCTTGGGCCCACTACCCAAACCATCCAAACCCCAGCCTCCTCTCCTATAACATGAGGCCATTATATTACTGATGGCGCAGGACCAGGCAGTGTTTCATTCTGTTGTACATAGGGTTGCTATGAGTCGGAACTGACTTGATGGCACCTAACAACGAGGTTGTTGGAGCCCTAGTGGCCCAGTGGTTAAGCGCTACAGCTGCTAACCAAAAGGTCAGCAGTTCAATTCCACTGGGCACTCCTTGGAAACCATATGGGGCCGTTCTGCTCTGTCCCAGAGGGTCACTGTGAGTTGGAATCGACTCAATGGCAATGGGTTTTGTTTTTTTGTTTCTTTTTTAGGTTGTTATTAAGTACTGAGATGCAGATAAAGGACTTAGCACAATGCGTGGCACATTGAAAATGCTCAAATAAACATTAGCTTTTTAAATATATTTCTCTGCCTTCTCAGGTGTTGCCTTTCATACTCACATGTCTTAATCTTTTTAGTCTATCCTCCTGTGGAAACCTCGTTGCCTCCCTCTGATCACTTCAATACATTCTCTGGTCCCTTCTCAAATTCTCTTCCGCCACTTCTGAGTGGACAAAAAGCTACGATACAATCGTAAAGGCCCAGATTGCTGTGATGTTTTATTTCTTCCCATTCTTGGCTGGGTTTCAGAGAATCCATAAAAGTATAAGCTGGAAGAAGCAATCATTATTTTCAGCTGCAATAACATGGATGCATGCACTCTTTTCCTCAGGAGTGAGGAGATCTAGATATTGGAGGGAAGAATCTGGCTGTGTCACTACATTTTAAGAGAAAGATGGGTGAGAGAGCAGGAAAAAAAGGTCAGGCTGGTACATTTGAAGGCAGCTGAAGGGTTCAGTTCTAAATTTTCATAGGAATGATGAACAGGACCAGAAGTTATTTTCAAGCTAGGGATCAGATAGATCTCTTCCAATTCCTATGGGACTGTGGTTGCCAGATAAAATGACTGGGAAATCAGAAGAAATTCTTTTGTTGACTGAGAAAAAGGTAGCCAGATTCAAACCTGAAATTGACCAGCTGTGATGACAAGCTCCCCCTCTTAACAAGCCTGGTGGAGCCAGGATGCGGCCCTGTCAATTCTCTCACTAGCTATTTTGGGTTACTTTTTCTAAAGGCAGAGGTAATTGTTAACTTTGCAGATGTTACATTTAGTTCTTCACATCTTGGATATGTGTCTTTTTTTTTTTTTTTTGTAGGCAACAAGTTTAATTAAAAAAATACACACATTCTCTTTCATAGGCCCTCTTGGCCTGGTTATGTAATGTTTCTATCTTGGAGAAACTGGTACCTGAATGTGTCTATTAAATTCTCTTCAGTGTTCATGGTCCCAGCTTATAGCTCATTAAACATGCCCCCATCCCAGATCTAATAAAACCAGTCAAACCGACAAGAAATCAAGGTCCCAAGAACCCTTTCAGCACTGGAAAGGAAGCATGGGCTTGTGGGTGAGGGTCAGGTGTCTAGGATTGTCTGCTATGTGGGAGGCCTACATTCTTTTACTGCAATGAAGTAGGAGGGATGGAAGCAGTAAATTAGGAAACCTGGCTTTAGCTCTGCAGAACACCCACCCTAACACAGTAATCACTGATTTTTATTGGGTTACATGCTGGGCACAGTTTTAACACATTACATGCATTTCCTCATTTGATTCTCACGGTATCTCTGTAAAGTCAGTATTTTCATAGTCTGCATTTACAGATGAGGACACTGAGGCTTATAGAATTTACTGGGTTGAATAAACCAGAAACCAAACCAAATCCATTGCTGTCAAGTCGAATCTGACTCATAGTGACCCTATAGGACTGCCCCCATAGAGTTTCCAAGGAGTAGCTGGTGGATTTGAACTGCTGACCTTTTGATTAGCAGCCAAGCTCTTAACTACTGCATCAGAGCTATGAGTTGGGACCCGACAGTCACTTTTTTTTTTTTTTTTTTTTAATCTTTTTGGAAGCAAACTGCCACATCTTTTTCCCGTGGAAAGGCTGGTGGGTTCAAACCGCCGATCTTTCAGTTAGCAGCGGAGTGCTTAACCACTGCACCACGGACCTTTGCAGATATAATCAAGTTAAGATGAGGTCATGCTGCAGTAGGGTGGGCCCTAATCTGAGTGGTGTCCTTATAAGTAGAGTGAATTTTTAGCACTGAGACAGACGGGGAGAAGGCTGTGGCGATAGAGGTGACATTGGAGTGACGAAGCTGTAAGCCAAGGAACTCCAAGTACTGCTGACAACCACCAAAAGCTAGGACAGAGGCATGGAACAGATCCCCCTCAGAGCCTTCAGGGCGAGCACGGCCCTGCCAGCAACTTGATTTTGGATTTCTAGCCTCCAGAAGTGTGACAGAATAAACTTCTGTTGCTTTAAGCCACCCAGCTTGTGGTAATTTATCAAACCGGCCCTAAAAGACGAATACACCCAGTTAACAGCTAAGGGGGAGTTAGAACTCAAACGCTGACCTGTCTAATTCTAGACTGCGTGCTCTCGACTCCCAGCATCTCCTTCCTGTTATTCCCTTTGCCCCTCTACAACTGCCCAGTTTCCTCTTAAGGATACGCTTGCTTCCTGTGAGACTAACTCCTAAACCACACGTGGAGCTAAGCCAATCAGTGTAGGGCCAAAGTGATTGGTTGAGAGGAGGCATGTGACTCGAGTCAGTCCAATCAGAATGAATGGCAGGATTTGGGGATAAAGGTGTTCTCTTGTCCTTTGTGCTTTGGATAGTGTAGATGTGAGGCCTAGGAGGGCTGAAAAACTGTCCGAGGGTGAAGACAATATTCAGGGGGGCCGAGGTGAAAGTACTGCAGAGAATCGGAAGGGCTGACGACAGCATGACCCTCTGCACCAGACCAAGGTAGAAGCCTGGGCTCCTCAGGGCTTAGCAGTCCTGGCAGCGACAGAGTCCCTGTGTGTTTAAGTCAGCTTGAGTTGAGTTCTCTGTTACTTGTAGCCAAGAACATTCTAAGTGATGTGATTATACTGTTCCAAAGCCTCAGCATTCCCTCGGGACCTCACCTAACAAAGCTTCCCTTGGGTACTGGAATTTCCCTCAAAGATATTTTTTTAAAAAAAATCATATACAAAGGGACTGAAATGTCCCTGAAAATGTAGGGCCTTTGGGCTCCAGAAAGAATGAAGCTGGCTGACTTCCAGAGTTCTTTGTTTCCGGAGGGATAGCATAGTCTTTAACCAAACTGGTTGTTGTTTTTTTTTTCCCCAGGTAGGTTTATAGAGAAATGTTAAGATTACTTAATGGTGATTCTGAAACAGTAGAATCTCTGTGGATGAGAAGATGAGAATTTAGGTTCTTTGGGAGATTGTTAGTGTACTCTGTCACCCCCACCCCCACCAAGCACACCCACAGACCGCTGGCCTTAGAAAGCTCGGCTTAGGGTGACCACTTCCCCCTTAAAAGCCCCCTTATTTCTGGGGTGGCAGTTAAAATTGATCTTGGTTACTGTGCTCTGCCAGAGTGTTAAATAGTAACAGTGATTTTGACTGTCCTCCTACCAGGGCTGTTTGTATTTTATTGCTGAACACCGACACACTTTCTCAACTTGCAAGAGTGAATCTGATAGCGAAACTGAACAACACGAATAACATATTCTGGGGGCAGAAGAACATCTTCTTTGCCTCTTAGATCCTGCCTCTAGAGAAACTGTTGTGTACTCATGTGTACTCAGCCATGGCTAGGGTAATTCCATATATGGAAATCATGCTTAACCCAAACCTGTTGCATCTGATACTTTGTTTCTTTCTTTCTCTGTTTCATTCTTTCTCACTCTGTCTCTGTCTCTCTCTCTCACACACACATACACACACACTTCCAATCAGTTTTAAAATGGGGAGAAGGGCTGGGGAAGAGAACAGCTGGGTTTTAGAAAAATAATAAGTGAGCTTAATTCCGTGTTCTCTGCACATGCCCTTGGAAGGCTGTGACAGTTGTCCCAAGCTGACAGAACATGTTGTGGACACAGAGTCTAAACAAGATGCCATCAAGTTGACTCTGACTTGTGGTGAACTCATGTGTGTCAAAGTAGAACTGAGTTCCATAGAGTTTTCAATGGCTGATTTTTTGGAAGTAGATTGCCCAGCCTTTCTTTGGAGGCACCTCTGGGCAGACTCGAACTTCCAACCTTTTGGTTGGCAACCGAACGTTAACCGTTTGCGCCACCCAGGGACTCACACAGAGTCTAGCCAGGGCCTTTACTAGACGCAGAGGTGTTTACTGCTGAGGGAGCCAGGTGAGCACCTCCAGCTAGAGCGGTGGTGAAGGGTCAGTTGTCCCGTCTGCTGTTTGTGTACGTAGCTGTGTCTTCACCCCATGTCTGTTCCAGGGTTCCTCTGGAGTCTGCTCTAGCCACAGCACATATTTTAAATCCAGCATGATGGGCCTGGGTGAGGACATTGCTATAATTTTGTCTCCCCATATCCCAGAAACTCTCAGATGCTGGTTTTGACATTTTGATTCACAAGATATTTTATGGCCTGCTATTCAGAACAGTCAGCGAGTCCCTGGGTGCTGCAAACGGTTAAGTGCTCAAATACTAACCAAAAAGTTGGCAGTTCAAACCCACCCAGAGACACCTCAGAATAAAAGCCTGGCAATCTCCTTCTGAAAGATCACAGCCTTGAAAACCCTATGGAGCAGTTCTACTCCGCATACACTGGGTCACCACGAGTCAGAATCAAGTCGATGGCAATGGGTTTGTTTTTCTTTCTTTCTTTATTTACTTATTTTGGTTGTTCGAAGTAGTCACAGCAGTTAATAGCAATTGACATTTTTTAAAGTAGGGATTTTTTCCCTTTTTTGACTCAAATAAAGCTGTATGTTTATGGATATAAAAGATCTACAAATGATAAAGTCAATCCACTCACCTGACTCCAGCCCCTAGCAGGAACAGAAGGGCAGACTCTGGGTCCAGAGATACTGGAAGGAGCAGTAGGAGGAGGGCAGAGGAGGGCAGAGGGGCTGCAGTGCCTACCGAGTGATTCTGCCCAGCCTGGGAGAGAAGTGACGGTGAAGAAGGGGGTAGGGCTGCTGGAATGGTTTCTGGCCACAGGACAGGCCAGAGGGCTCAGAAGATAGCATAGCTCTATGGGAATGTCCCCACTGGGGGCCATGCAGTTTTTGAATATTTCAGGGGACTGTAAGCTCCATAAGGGCAGGGACTCTGGTTTGCACACACTGTGTCCCAGGAACTGAGCACATGCCTGGTGCCTGAGCGTGCAAAGTGTTTCACTTAATGAAAGAATGAGTGAGAGCTGTCGTGCGTTGAGGTCAGACGTAGTCACGCCCTCGGGGATGAACGGGAAGTGAGTTCTTGGTCTTGAGGTTTCATTTCAAGTGAGATTATGATGCTACTCTCTGTGACGGCTGATTTTATGTGTCCATTTGGCTCGGCTGTGCTGCCCGGGGTTTGGTCAATCACTAGTCAGATGTTGCTATGAAGGTATTTTGTTGATGTGATTGACATTTACCATCAGTTACCTCTAAGTAAAGGAAGTTACCCTTACTGATGTGGGTGAGCCTGATCCAATCATTTGTAGGCCTTAAGAGCAAAAGTTGAGTTTTGCAAGAGAAGGAATTCTGCCTCAAGAATGTAATATAGAAATCCTGCTGGAGTTTCAAGCCCTCTGTTTGCCCTATGGATTTCAGAGTTGCCACCCGTACAACTGCAGGAAATCAATTCCTTAAATCTCTCTCTTTCTCCACACACACGCATACATACATGCACACACACACACACACACAGACACGCACACATGCACAATACCCTAGTACACTATTCGTGAGGTTTCATCACTGCCTGGAGAAGGAATGACCCATCTTCCCAGACCACTCATTTTTGCTTGGCCATCATCTTCTAGAATCTCTCAGGACTGCTTGTGTTGTGCCAGCACCAGGCACTTGCATCCGCAGGAAATTACACTTGGAATACAGCATTGAGATTCTTTGAACAACCCACAATCAGCAGTTATGGGCCGGCTTTCTTTATTCCTGGTGACTGTGGAGCAGGGCTCCTGAGGAGCTGAAAAGCAGGTGAGTGCTGTGAGGTGACCAGTTAGAGAAGGAAGATTGATCCTTGCCACTGCTTAGAGACCAACATGAGGCTCCTTAGACACTGATAATTTCTGGGGCTTAAGTACATCTGTGGAGTCTGGGGCGGGTGGGTTTCGGGGCTTGGATTAGCTGAAGCTCTTTGGTAAATAGTCTTTGTACAGCCTCTCTCTGTCATTCTTCTTACATAGTAGGTTCAGTTTGAGGAGCTTGGAGTTTCCACAAGATCGAGTGTTGTCGAGCTGTGGGACACCATTAGGAGCAAATGACAGTGGCATTGGCACAGGCCACGGTGGAGCGGTTTTCATCATATAGTTCCAGCAAGACCTGGTATTCTCCCTGCCAGAGACAGAGGGGAAGCATTAGGCACGTGACCACTAGACAGTCAACCACTGAATAAATGTTTATTGAGCACCTTCTATGTACAGGAGTCCCTGGTTGATGCAAATAGTTAAGAGTTTGACTACTAAGCAAAAGGTTGAAGGTTTGAACCCACCTAGACGTGCCTCGGAAGAAAGCCCTGGTGATCTGTTTCCAAAAGGTCATAGCTTTGAAAATTCTATGGAGCACAGTTCTACTCTGACACACATGGGGTTGCTAGAGTTGGAACTGACTCTAAGGCACCTGGTTTGGTTGTTTGGTTTATGCACAGGACTCCTTGGGGGGTGAAAATGGTTAGCACATTTGGCTACTAACCAAAAGGTTGATGGTTTAAGTCCACCTGGAGGAGCCTCAGAAGAAAGGCCTGGCAATCTGCTTCCAAAAAAATCAGCCATTGAAAACCCTATGGAGCACAATTCTACTCTGACACACATGGAGTGGCCATGAGTTGGAGTCAACTGGTGGTTTTCTGTGTGTTAGGCACTGTTATAGACTCTGGGGAGAAAACAGAACAAGGCAAACAACCCCTGCCCTGTGGAGCTTGCAGTCTAGTTGGGAAAGGCAGACAACCACACACTATAATCCAGTATCATGGTGTGTAGACGATGATAATTGCTATGGAGAATATCAAGCAGGGAGGGACGGACAGGAAGTGCTAGGTATAGTGGGTAGTGGGGCAGAGCTAGTGCTGGTTGGCAATTTTAAGTAGGGAGGTCAAGGCAGGCCCTCCCGAGAAGGTGGCATTTGGACAAAGACCTTAAGGAGGTATGGGAGTGGGGGACAGCGTCCCAGCAGAGGAAACTGCCCCCTTTGAGGAATAGTAAGGAAGCTTACCCTCTGAGGAGCGAGAGGAGACGAGAGCAGAGATGTGAAGGGAGCCAGGCTCGCGGGCCACGGGGGATCTCTGGCCTCTGCTCTGAAGGGATATGGTTCTTAGAGAGTTTGTCAGAGGTGTGACCTGCTGTGACCCACATGTTAATGGGGCCCTAAGGCTGCTGTGTTAAAGAGACATGGGGGGAGGGTGGGAGCAGCAAGACCAGGGAGGAGGCTATGGCTACAACCGAGGTGGGAGGGGGTGGTGACAAGTGGTCAGATTCTGGATAGATTTTGAAAGAAGACTGAATATCATTGCTGAGGAAATCAGTGTGAGTGGAGAAACAGAGGGGGTAACGGTGACTCCAAAGACTTTGGCCTGAGTAACTGTGAGGATAACACATCATTTGCTGAGACAAAGAAGACCACTGGAGGAGGAAAATTCAGTGGCACGAAACCCAGATGCTCTGTCAGGAAAGGTACTGCAGCCTTTCAGGGCTCCTTTCTGGTAACAAGTAGTCCTTGCTATGTTTGTAGCTAGGACTGAATCACGGAGAAGCAGCAGTCTGATAACCATGGAGTATAAGAAGCTGCAGAAAGCCACCAAGCATTGAGCTGAGTCTGTTGTGTTCACTGCCAAAGCCCAGGGTAACCCACCCTACAGGCCACGCAGTAGGTGTATGTGTTTGCTGACTCCCTGATCTGGGGGTGAAAAGACTCTGTGGGTGGTGGGAGGGAGGAGGGGTAGAAGGGTGGGGGAAGCACAAGGAATTCCTGGCAAATCTTTGAACCGCTTGTCACACAAAAGAGGAAATGGGTTTATTTTGTATGAAGCCAGAGGGCAGGGATAAATAAGACCAAAATGGCAGTTGCCTGAGAGAGCTTTTGTTAGGAAAGAACAACTTTCTAGCAATTAGCAGAGCTTTGGGAGTGTGGACTCCTCAACACTGCAAGTTATATTATTCCAGATCCTCTGGAGGCTGTCTTGGGTGTGAAGATTGATTAGAAGAACCCTAAGGCATCATTCAACTTGAAGATTCTGTAAATCTATAGGCTCCCATGAGTCTCATTGCTGGATACTGAGCAGCTATAATTTCATCAGATGTGTTAGGAATTTAACCAAATCAGTGTGAAAGTTAGAGAATTAATTATGGATAACGTCACCTCAAAGTTGTACTGGATTCTATGTTTAATAACAAGAATAATAAACTAACTTTCTTTTAACTCTTCATGTGCATTTAAGTACATGCCCTACACATTTATTGAAAACCAAATGAGTTTTTCTTCATTGGTTTATAAGCTCAGGAAAAGATGTAGCATTTGAAGGAAGGAGGGCATAGATTGTGGATTAGGAGGTATACGTATCCTGGTTTAAGAGGCAAGAGTATTTAGGCAGCTGGGCCAGTCTGTAGGCAGCTGGAGGCACACGCTGGCAGGACAGGAGGGGCAGAGTAGGGGCAATGACAGCAGCCGTCTTTCTGTGGGTGAGCAGAGCAGGGAGCTTGCAAGCCAGGGATTGGTATTTGCATTCTTGGTAATTACGTGGTTCAACAACCTACAAGATGTTGTCCATGTGCGTTGGGAGCCCAAAGGATCTCTAAATTCTAACTCAGAGAACAGCAGCCGTAGAAAGATGCAGGACTCCAGGCAGGATTTTCATTCTAGGCCAGGGGACTGGGCTTGTTAAAGAGAAGAGGACCCCTAGGGACTGAAGACTGAGTGCTGAGTGGAAATGTTGGCGGCCAGGCAGCAGCCGCCATTAGCCCAGAGCCCAGCTCCGAGGATTTGGTTGGAGGAGGGGACATGCGGGAGACCTCTTAAACCCGAAGACTTGGCAGTGTCTCTGTCCCGTACTAGGAAAGCCAAATCTCTGTGTGCTGGCTGGCTGGCGGCCATGGAGGCCTGGGCTGATGTGGCTGGCGTGCCGCCAACATGGGGTGCCCACGCTGGGATCAAGGCCTCCAGCTGCCTCGCTGCACACGTGGTCTGTTCCAGCTGGGTTGTGTTCCCCATCAGGTCTGTCCAAGGTCAGCAGGCTGGGGGCAGGTCAGCACTTGGCAGGTTTCTGCTTCCCTGGCCGAGGCCTCAGGAGGGGATGAAGTGGGAGAACCAGACATAAAAGCCCTGTAGATGCTTCAACTACACAGACTCTGAGTCAGGGAATTATGCCACTTTCTCTGCCCTCGCTCTGGGCAATACCTCTTTGGGCATTGTTATTGGTTAAAAAACCGCTAGTACTGCACTTCCCCCCAAAATCTTAGGTGATCGCAATAAAGGTTTTTCTCATTTCTGGTCAATTTTCTTTCAAAAGGATTCTATGACTTTAAGAAGTTATTTTCTGCTCTATTTCATGGCAATTGCTAATAATTGTTTTTTTTTTAAGCCATTCATGCAAAATGAAAATCAATTGTTCGCACATTTTAAGTCAATCTACAGTGAGGAGGGGGCATCACCTGTCTGTCAGTTTGTCAGACTATGGTGGCTTGTGGGTTTCTGTGATGCTGGAAGCTATGCCACCAGTTATTTCAAATACCAGTAGGGTCACCCATGGTGGACAGTTTTCAGCAGAGCTTTCAGACTAGGAAGAAAGGCCTGGTGATCTACTTCTGCAAATTAGCCAAAGAAAACCCTATGGATCACTAGAAAATATTGTCCAATATAGTGCTAGAAGATGAGCCCCCCAGGTTGGAAGGCACTACGCAATAACCACAATGGACTCACACATACCAACGGTCGTGAAGATGGTGCAGGATCAGGCAATGTTTTGTCCCGTTGTACATGAGGTTACCATGAGCTGGACTGGATGGTAACAAACAACACCAATGGGTGTGGGGGTGGCTGGGGAGGGAGGAGTCAGAAGGAAAATGGGGAAAGAGAAAGAACTCAAATCACAAAGATTTAATGAAAAAACAAAAACTATTTGGGAGAACTTTGGCCCACGTCCTATACTTTAGAAGTGAAGGGATTCTGAGTTTTCCTTTCTTGTAAAATTTTCATGTGCTGAGAAGCCAGAGAGGACAACTCTGGAGAAGAATCCCAGAGGGCAAGGCTGGAAAGTCCCAGTCTAGTGAGGATTTGAAGCAATCTAGAGAGGTGACGCTCTAAACATAGGAACCCAGAGGCTGGGGCAGAAAGAAGACATACAAGAGCATAGAAATTAAGTTAAAGAGATTGTTTATGGAGAAGGAGACGCCTTTCTAGAGTTAGACACAGGTTTTGGAGGACAAAAAGGGTGAAACCGAAAACAAAGCAAAAAATTTAACTGCTACATTTTTGTGATTCTTTTAATGTTGTTCCCTAAAATTCTCTCAGGAGTGTCATATGAAACTTCATTGCGACTTGAATTCAGCCATTTAATAAAGTCACATTATTTTGAACAAAGAGGAATTGGTGGAAATTCTCTTAGCTGTGAGCCTCACCAGCGAATGCTCAGGACATGGGCATTTGATTGGCTCGGTGGGTGCCCATAGATAGTGCAGGAATTGTAACTGGGAAGACATTTACGCCACTGTGGTTTGTGTATCTGCCTTTCACTGCACTGCCAGCCTTTCCGAAGCATTGCTCAAGCACCATGTGGCGCTCTCTGACACTCCCCAGCAGCTCCAGCCACGTGGGGTTCCTGAGGACACCACCATCCTGCTAGAAAAGAAGCCTGGCCTTCCTCTCAGTGAACCCCAAAGATCCCCCAACGGTCCAATGGGACATCAAATGTTAAATACCAAAATGACAGAACCGGGGTGTCAAACATTTTAAAGTGCCCACTATGTGCTAGGTGCTATACCGGAAGTAACAGCTTCATTAAGAAAGGGTTTTCTTAGTGAAAGTCTATAAAAATGTTTTAAATTACTTAATTCCTTTCTCCTTCTCCTCTTCCCTCTCACGCCTCCTCCTTCTCCTCCTTCTCTTTTTCATTCTTCAAGAAACCCATCAATATAACAATTAAAGAACAAAACAAAACAACAAAACCTTACCTCAGGAACTAGAAGTCCAGGATTATTGACAGGGCCGACATAGTAAAGTTGTTCTGAAAAAATATAAAACATAGATAACTTTATTCAATCATTTAAAAAAAAAAAAGAACTGATTTACTCATATTATCTGTGGTCACTGTCTAATGATGGTTCATACTAAATAATAGTAGTCATTTACATAAATATTTTCATTGCCTGACTCCAATCTACCATTCATTCATTCAACAAATATTTGTTGAGCACCTACCGTGTGGCAGGCACTGGGGGTCCACAGAGGAAAAAAAAAAAAAGGCCTCTGCCCACACATTGCATATATTCTAATGGGAAAACTGACAATACTTAATTAAACAAGAAAATATAGATTGCAGAGTGCTAGAAGGAGACACGCAGGTAATGTGAGAGAGGCAGGATGGTGTGATGGTTCAGGTTCCAGGCTGGAGCCAGGCTGCCCAGGGTTAAATCCTGAGATCACCTCCTATAGCTATGAGACTTTGGATAGTTGTTATTCAAAGGGGCCTCAATTTCTCCTTTTGTAAGTTGGGTATGATAATGACAACAATAGTGTCTATCTCACAGTGTTGTGAGGAATTAAAAGAGTTAACCATATAAAGCACGAGTAACAACGCCTGAAAAGCACTCAATGAATATTCGCTAACATTACCAACTGGAAGACACCATGTTTGATAAGATGGTCAGGAAAGGCATCTCCAAAGAGTGATGTTTGAGCTACGCTCTAAAGAAGGACAATGAGTAGACCATTTAAAGAGCTAGGAGAAGGGCATGTCAGGGAAAGAGACTAAGGGCAAAGCCCACTCTGGGAAAGTTTTCCAAGTTGTAGGAACAGAGGGAGGTCACTTTGCCAAAGCACGGTGAATAAGAGACCAAGTTGAGATGAGATTGGAAAGATTGAGGGAAGGCAGATATTTTACGACCTTGAGGACATGGTGAGGAGTTTGGATTTCATTTTCCAAAGGCACTGGAAAAGGTGTTAAAATGTCAAGTGAAAATACCTAGGGTACATTTTAAAGCAACCATTCTGCTGCGTGGAGAATGGAGTGGAGAGGCCAGCAGTGGAGCAGCTGCAGTAGTGGAGGTGAGTGATGGATTGGCGAAGTGTGGGAGATGGAGAAAAATGAATGGAGTCATGACTTTTTTGGGAGATAGGACTTACTGATGAGTTATTTATGGAGAGTGAGAAGAATGTTTTGGCTTGAGCATCTGGATAGATAGGGTGCCATTTACTGGGATGGGGAAGCCTAGGAGGAAGAAGTATTTGTGTGTGTATGTATGGGTGGGTGGGTGGTGATTAAAGAGCTCTATTTTGGGGGAATGCTTATTAAAAACAACAACAACAACCAAACCCGTTGCCATCGAGTTGATTCCAACTCATCGCGACCCTATAGGACAAAGTAGAACTGCCCTATAGGGTTTCCAAGGAGCGCCTGGTGGATTCGAACTGCTGACCTTGTGGTTAGCAACCGAACTCCTAACCACTACGCCACCAGGGTTTCCTCAAAGCATTTAGATATACAAATCTGGAATTAGGGGGGAGAGGTCAGGGAGGAGCTGTGACTTCTGGGGTCATTACCATGTAGACGGTGGTAAAGCCCTGGGACTGCATGAGATCACCCAGGGAAGTAGACTCGATGGAGAAGGGGAGAGGACCAGGACCACTCCTGAAGCCCTCCACTATTCATAGGTTGGGTAGAGGAGGAGATGCCAGCAAAGGAGGTTAAGCAGGAATGACCCATGGAGTGAAGAGTGATCAGAGAGTGGGATCACGGATGCCAGGGGAGGTGTGTTTCTCACATAGAAGGGGATGGTCAACTGTGTTGCATGCTGTTGAGAGTTTGAGTAGGAGGAGGATGGAAACGTGTGGTGGATTGGCAATATGGAGGACATTTTGACAAGAGCATTGGAGAGGGGGGATGAATACCTGAATGGAGTGAGTTGAGGGTGAAGAAGTAAAAAAAAGTTTTGCTGTAGAAGGAACCAGAAAAAACGAATAATAACTGGAGGAGTATAGGGTTTTAAGAATGATTTGTTTATTTAAGATGGAAAATATTTGCCTTTTGAAGGGAATGATTTTGTATAGAGAAATTGAAGATGAAAAAGGGAGAGGATAATTGAAGTAATGAAGTAACTAAGAGGGTGGGAGGGGAGGGATCTGCCTTTGAGAGGAGCACAGCCATTGCTCTCATAGGTACAGGAGAGAAAACGAGCAGAACAGTTCAGGTGGAGGTAGGTTTGTGGATTGGCTGATGGACCAATGACAAGTCTGCTGTACCAATGGCAAAGCTGCTGTCTGATTGCTTCTGTTTTCTCAGCGAAGCATGAGGCTAGGTGCTGGGCAGAGAGGGAAAGAAAGGTGGAGACTGAGGGCTTGTGGTGGGTTGAGGAGCAAGGTGAAGGTATACAACAGTCATCATGGAGACTGGGGAAGAAATTTACTAGAGAGACAGTAGGATTGTTGATCAGTATTGAGTTTTTATTTTTATTTTTTTAAGTTTTCTTTCCTTCCTTTTTTTTTTTTTAGGTTAGGTCATGAATTTAAAGGCATTCCAGTCAGCCTAGATGTAGATTTTCTTAGCACAATTCAATAGCTCTGATGCAGGAATAGAAAGGGTAGATGATTGTGCTGGAGTTTTGCTGGATAAAAATGATAAAGAGAGAAAAACAAAGCTTTGGGGACATAGACAATGGAAAGATTACAATAATAGACCATCGAATCTAAGGAGGGTAAGAAAGAAAATGAAGGCAGAAGCGGGCAATTAGTAGTTAAAACAGTGTCGGGGTTGGTTGAATGGAGTCTCCATTACTGCAATGAAGAATTATTGCAAGGAAGGTCCTAGAATAGGTAAGCTGGAAGGATTTGATGACACTGAAATTTCAGAAATGGTGCAGTCACCAGTGATGAAAACATCCAGGGTTGACATGGGAGAGGATGGTAGAGGTGGAATGATAGATATGGTTGTTGGAAGTAAGGAGGTCAAGGAACTGAGCAGGAGTCCCTAGTAGGGGTAGAAACAGTAGCTATTAGTTCAATTATTATTCACCAGGATATGCAGAAGAGTAACATAGTAAACACAGCTTGGTGGATGCTGAGGTACACAGAGAGACCAGTCTAGTTTTGCAACCTGTTTGCTGAGCCAGTGTGTACAACTGCTAAGTTCTATCAGTGCCTTTAAAAAAAAAAAAAGAAAATATATATATAACTTCTGTTTTAAAAAATGGATGAGTACAGCACTTTGAAGAACACCATTGGTTATCCAACATTTTGGTATGCTCATTTAATGCTCTAAGATTTGCTAATTTGTCCTCCTCACTGTTAACAGGTTCTTTACTGGGGTGAGGGATTTTCATTAAATAGGTCTCTTACACTTTACAGTTCAATGGGAGCTCTTTTTGAGGCCCATTGCTTCAAGTAACCCAGAAAGTGGCTTTTCTTTTTTTTTTTCACCCTGATGAAACAACACCTAAAATCAAATTCTCGCTCCTTCTTTTCTCGGATGCTCTCTGGTTCTGAGAGTCCTTTAATTAACATTCTCACACTCCAGGACTATAAAAAGAGCCCTGCTATATTTTCACGCACTTCTTCCTCCCCTTCAGTGTTTAGTGTGTGCTGGAAGAAAGAAATTCACCTCCCTGCCTCTGACACATGAAGTTGTTTCTGGTAAATCGGCAGTTTTGACCCAGATCTTCGTGTGGAGGCCCGTCATGTCTTTTTAGAGAGGACGTTGACTTTAAATTGTTGAAATAAGAGGTCTCAGAGGGGTTAGGATTAGACTGAGGTGAGACTAGGGACCGTGTGTTGCTTACATGGTTTTGTTCTCAATAACCGGCGCAGATGCTGGCATGCCAGTGCTTGTTGAATGAGTCCTGTTAGGTGGAGTTCTCGCTCTTCTGTAGTCCTTGCCTGTATCTTAGCAGAATTCCCTTCAATCTCCCAAATTTATCACAAAAATGTCACCAGTACCCGTCTGTCAGTTTGTTATACTGTGGTGGCTTGTGTGTTGCTGTGATGCTGGAAGCTATATCACCAGTATTTCAAATACCAGCAGGGTCACCAGAGTGGACAGGTTTAAGCAGAGCTTGCAGACTAAGATAGACTAGGAAGAAAGGCCTGGCTATCTACTTCCAAAAATTAGTCAATTAAAATACCTATGGATCACAACAGAATATTGTCCTATACAGGAAGATGAGCCCTTTAGGTTAGAAGGTGCTACACAATAACCACAACAATGAACTCCGATATAGCAAGGATCATGAAGATGGCACAGGACCAGGAATGTTTCCTTCTGTTGCACATGGGGTCACTATGAGTCAGAGCCCACTTGATGGCAACTAACAAAACAACAGGGTTCTTGACGGTGTAAAAACATCTGAAGTTACAATTTATCAGAAACAGGTACAATCAAATATATTCAGAAGAAAAACTTTAAAAAAAAAATTGACCATTTATTCATTTACTCTGCCTTTTCTGGGCCCCTTTCCTCTGTGCCAGGCCAGGTGGTGGGCGGGGGGTCAGTGTTGAGCAGAGAGGACAAGCTCTGACCTTGCCCTCTGGTGAGGAAGCAGGTACCAAGTTAGTAAAAAGTGGGGGGAAGGCTCCTGCAGCAGCGAGGTGGGGGCTGGTGCTTGAGGACAGACAGGAGGCCTGGGAAATGGGAGAGGTGGGAGAGTATTTGAGGCAGACCCAGAACATCAGGTCTCCAGAGGGAGAGGGAGGGAGTACCTTCCTTCATTTTGTTGTTGCTGGCTGCCGTGGAGTCTATTCCGACTCACACTGACCCCGTAGGACAGGGTAGAACTGCTCCATAGGTTTCCTAGGCTGGAATCTTTACAGGAGCGGATAGCCAGGTCTTTTCCTCCGAAGAGCCACTGGTGGAATTGAACCTCTGGTTAGCAGTCGAGCGCTTAACCATTGCACCACTAGCGGTCCTTTTCTTCCTTTTAGTGAGTTCCAAATATAGTTTTTGCTCCTCTCCCTGCCTCTGGGTAATTCCTTATGAGACTCAAGGCTGGCTAATGGTACTACACCTCCCCCACCTCC